TAGGTTGAAAATTCGTCAGCCACTCTGCTGGATTCCAGCACTGTGACTTCCACAGATCGGCCGCCAAGTCGTCGGGACCCGTTGCTTTACCTGTCTTCATCTTCTTCAAAGCCGCCTCTGTTTCGCTCACAGTTATCTTCGAGACAGGGCCGTGGACCGGAGGAGCAGAAGGTATTGGCGGGGCCGCACTAGATCGGAGAAGGTTGCATTGAAACCTGGCTTTTCCATTAGACATCCTTTTTGAAGCCTTGCTTCAACGCTCTACAGCGGACAGCGCACCAGAAAAGTTTGATTTCGAAGCGAGGTCGCGAAAGCTAAAGCGTTAAAACGTCAGAACAGGCAGCACGCCTCATGACTACAAGCCAGTTCGCATCGTGGACTTCTCATAACGGTTTTTTTTTCATCTTCTAAATGCACTTTACCTGGGTATGCTCACTGCGACTGTTGTCTCTTATTTCTAATGCAGACCTGTCTCTTTAAGAACACCACTACTGATCTTTAAACGACAGGCGACAATGTTTGAGAGTCGCGCATACCTTCTAAGTTACAAATTTATAAAAGTTGGACTCGAAGGGTACACGACAAACAAAAATAAATGTGTATAGGAAGAGTCCATTAGCTCACTCACATGCATATTGCGTGCTTATCCTTAAACATATACTCTTCATCATAACCACAGAAGTCACAGAGGTATAGGACGGTAGTAAAGTGCTATAAGCTCACAATCAAAGGTGGTGAACGGGACAAGACCCTGGAGTAAACCACGAGATTTCCTCCACTGTATGCTAATCTGCGCCCTGCCCAACTATAAGCTTCTAATGATCGGATTATGCACTGGATCACTACCTCTGCACCTTTGAACACTGATAGCTAACGGTGAAAGAATAGCAGCTCTCGAGATCGCGCGAAGAAAGTAGGTTGCGTTTCAACTCCGAGCCAGTCTTCGCCTCCAGTGGTGTCCGGAACTTCTCTCTTCATGCGACCTCGATTGCCTCGCAAATAATCTAGCGGCGGCAGCGCCAGCGAGCAAGCGAGTTCGGTCGCTACGCAAATAACCTAAGAAGCACCATAGGATCAGTAAGGCACTGCCGGTGGACCCGCCACCAATCAGTACCAATCAGTATCTACTCGCCAATATCCACAACCTCCAATCAATCTTCAATAACCCGTCAACACATGTCGAGGTCAAAGGCAAGGATAACCAAACAAGGGCTAATTTTACACGTTGACGACATCGCGCGTTTTGGGTTTTTGCACCGCGTGGGACAAGGGCGCTTTTGCGAGCGCGGCCGTCACACCTCACACCCGTAAATTTCGAACGATAACCTTGGGAAGCTTCAAAGGTACGAAACCATTTCAGCAATATTCAATGCGTAGAAAGTAATCGAAGATATAGTAGCGAAATTCCGATCAAAAAACGTGAAATGGTAAAGAAAATTGGAATTCAAGTCCTTTTCTCTGTAGTGGATGCCAAAACTATTTTCGATGTGGATGTGTCAAGTGAAACATATATCTTTCTATCCCTTTAAGTTTGTATTTACTTTCACTACCTTTTCTCACTGACATGTTCATCAGAATAGGAAGAAAACGAGGGATGAACCGAGCTGCCAATTCCGCTGTGCTTAAAAAACTTCTGCTAAACTGGAGCATATTTGATCATACCGTGACCCATGTCGTTTACAGTTATGTTATGTTGTAATCCATAGAATAGAGGCAAGCAAATTGGGAAGAATCCCCGCATACGCTAGAAAAAGGGATGACAAGGGTGAGACGCGCAACCGCGTCTCAATGTCCAACGAGGTGCGCAAAGTGAGACGCGTTACCGCGTCTCAATGTCGTCAATGTGTTAAAGTAGGAACTAGGTCATAAAGTTGTATCATATCGAAGTCATTTGTGTAACGTCAATGACCTTTGTATAAAAAATGACTTATTATACGCAGTTTCATAACATAACGCATTCTACCACCCAACTATCGGAACAGTTCACTTCCCATGCAGCACATCGGAATGGCGGGTTAACGTGCGGTATTGACTCGTTGGGTTCAAAATAGTGGAGAAAACGCAGCTCCTGTAGTCAGCGATTATGCTAACTCAAATGCGGTGCGCTTTTGAGACATCAGTGAACGGTGACGGAGTCCTAGAGCCCTTGAATTGCTGCGGGTGTGATTGAGACCACCGCTGTTCCTCCGATGCGTTCAACAGGGCATCGAAACCGACCGCAACGCTCTCCAGCCATGATCACTGCCTTCAAATTCTTCGTGATAACGCTCCGACGGGAATGGAAGACATTTGACCTTCGGAGGGGTGGGGAAGGCTTGAACTTTCTTACGATGTCGTGTCAATAAATTCTGTGCTACCGAAAGATGTCGTGTTGTTGAACTCTGTTCCGGTGACGACAGAACTTCCCTTCTACTTTCTTCCAAGTGACTCAAAGACGGAGGCTGAGCGGTCATGGGCACTGTTGTGGTGAGCAACCTATTGTTGAGATTTCCGCTCTCTGGTTCCTTAGCATGGTTGACATTTGGCTGAATGCGTAATTGTGCTGAGCGGAAAGGTAGCACTTGAAGTTTCAAACGCTTTCAGGCCTATGACAACGAATTTATCGAAAGATCCGGTAAGCCAATATTCCACCACCCAAAACCTTTTGACGCAGAAGCAACACTACTGTTAAAGAGCCACGCCCAGGTTTCAAAAAAGGTGGACGTAGAGAATATTACAATACCGAGTTGTGGCAAAACTTTCGCCCCAGCCGGGATTCGTACCCGGATCTCTTGCTTTCCGGGCAATTGTGCTACCAGTTACACCACCGGGGCACCATTTCACCCCAACTCAGCTTCGATGGTGAAGTTACCATAGCTTATCAGCATTCACACGTATAACGTGATGAACCGGTTAGGCCGATTTCGGCATTCAACCGCAAGGCTGAAAGCTTTACTAGATGTTACCATTTTGACTTAACTACTCCGCAACGCGAACTGCGGCGTAAAACAGCAGTCATCCAATAAAAACAATACCGAGTGCTATTTTGTTCGAACCTGATTTGAGCTCAATGTTATACCATTGTTGCGCGGAACAAAGATCTAAAGATTTATTCTGCGTCAATAAAATAGCGATTATACAAAGAACAAGTATGGCGCTTTAGGATCGCGTGGCAAGTTCGCAGAGTAGACCTCCACATTTTGAATCCTTCATTTTGCACACATCCTTCACTTTAGCCCCGCTCGCACAGCCGGTTTTGTCCCCCTTCTGGTACAAATCTGTCTTCTTAGGAGCTCTGAAAAGGAGTAATACAAATGCGACGATTGGCGACACTTCCTTTGTACGTGTACATTCCTCACTTTTTGTTGTAGACGCACGTAAAAACAGCCTCGCCTATACCACCAAAATCATCACGGCACTGCTCATAGTTGCAACCTAATTCGAAGATTTCTTGATGAGCCATCTGGAATTCAATTGTTATCGTACTAATCCAGAGGAGGGATACTTAGAAATGTGGGTAACATACATTGGCGAAGGTGTATAAACGGCTCGACTCATAGCGTGTTTAGATCTTTGTTCGCGCAACAATGGTATAACATTGAGCTCAAATCAGGTTCGAACAAAATAGCACTCGGTATTGTTTTTATTGGATGACTGCTGTTTTACGCCGCAGTTCGCGTTGCGGAGTGGTTAAGTCAAAATGGTAATATCTAGTAAAGCTTTCAGCCTTGCGGTTGAATGCCGAA